GCCCCGGGGCCGGCCGGGGGGCGGGCCCTGGGGCCCCGCGGGAGGCTGCGGGCCGCCCCATACCTACCTTCCGTGTGGACGGCGGAGGCGGAGGTCCAGTTGTGGCGCTTGACGATGTCGAGCATGGCCCTGGCTTGCAGCGTGTCGGAGGGGACCACCCTGAGGAAGTATTTGTACAGCGTTTTGTCGCTCAGGTCGATGCTGGTGGCGGAGTAAGCGATCTGGGGGATGTCGAAGAGCTGGAGCAGATTTTGGACTTGGATAGCGACCGAGCTGGAGCCGGGGCCGATCACCCCCGCGATGGGCTTTTTCACTCTGGTCTGGGGCTGGGGCTGCGAGTCGGAAACGCAGCGGGCGCCCCCGTCCCTGTCGTCCCTGATGGAGATGAGGGAGTCCCGTATGAACTCGATGCTCTGCTCCAGGGCCACCGAGGAGTGCCAGCAGGAGTCTCGGATCTCGCTGCCCAGGGTGATGTTAGGTAGCAGGACCGGGTCGGCGTTAATTTTATCCAAAGTGTGAAACATGGCTTCGACTCTCTGGATGCCGTATTGCTCCCGGATTTCCCCGCACTTCCTCTCGGGCACTTTCTCAGCCGGCGGCTGGTGATGGACAGAGAAGAGGGCCCCGATGATGACATCCCCGTCCATCCGAGCCACCGACCGCTGCGAGGAGGCTGCGGAGAGAAGCACCTTCCGCCCGGCGCTCCTGGGCAGCACGTCCATCTCCAGGAGCAGAGCGGGGAAAAAGACCAGCAGCACGCCAATCATTTTGTTGCACGATGCCATCCAGACCCAGGTTACCAATTTCATGGGCTCCTCTTGCCTGCACATGGTTTAAGGACATGTAGGAAAAGGCATCCGCTTCCCCCCGCCAGCGCCCAAGTTGCTCCAAATACCATCACAGCGAAGTCTTACAGCATCTCTCTCGAAGGTGCCAAGGCAGCCGTCATCCTAGTGACTTTTAACCTGGTGGCATAGAAATAAGGGATAAAAGACGCTAACCGGGAAATCGATGTCAAACCGGAGCTCGATAAAGCAACCCCCCACAGTTCGCGGTGACTGCTTTCGCAAATGCCCAGGTCAATTTGCTTCGCTAAAGGCTCGCGGAAGGAAGCTTCAAGAGGGATCAAAATGTGTATTTATTTGCCTTGACGTATGATGGTGCATACTCACGTGTGTTAAGTTTATATGATCCTTTTCGTGTCCGCTTTTCAAGCCAAGGGGGCTGCTCCCCGCACCCTCAGCCGGCACACACTCTCCCCTCCGCCCCCGGGAAGTTTCGAAAGTTTCGCGAGGCAGCTAGCTCCTCGGAGAAGCGTCCCAGCCTGGCCCCAGCGGCCCCAGCCCTGAAGGAGGGGTGACAAGTGCTTCTCTTCTCGCGTTCTGCCTACCTGAAGGCATCTTTCTCAGCTCAGGAATTTCCTTTCCCAATACAGAAAGGGGTGCAAAGAGCGAGCCAGCGATCTGCCCTGCCAGCGACGGGAAATGTCATTTAAAGGTCAGCGAAGGGAGGAAGAAAGGAACCGCTTTACAGTTCAGATTAACTTTCCCGTGTGTAGGGGGCAAAACTGTAATTCAGCCAGGGACACACATATGCAAGCGGGGGAAAATACACATCAGTTACTACGGCAACCGCGGGCAAAGTCCTGATGTGCCTCACC